TATATACATCATTTCTGTATATTATACATCAATTTGTATGTAAGGAAAAATATATATAATAAGATTTATGTATATACTCGTATAAGCTATTAAAAAAAAAACGACGTAAAATAATAGACATAATGACTGCAAACTCCAAAAGTCGAGATACTTCACAAAGGCTTCTACAACTTACTTCAAAAGAATTAAACCCTTTGTTCTAAGTTTCTCAGTGTCTAGTGGTCCTTTTTGTATTCTACTTTATTTGTTCTGAGCACAATTTGTTGTACTATTGTCCCACTTCTTTCTTCAAAACAAAAAAAAAACATTTTATTTACGCAACTTTTGAATTTATTTTTATAAATATTTTTTAAAAATACTATATGGAAAGTATTCAGTTTAAGGACATAGAACAGAACCATGTCATTTTAAATTGCTGCACAAAAAAAAGGTTTGAAAAAACAATATGCAAACTATTGAGCAGTAAAAAGGATTTAAATATTCAAATATAATTATTTTAGAGTTTTTAATATTGTAGTAAAACGAGCAATAATCATTAATTATAGGAATAGATAGGGTATGTATTGACCTTTCATTGCAATCCACAGAACAGCCCTTCATTATATTCAATTTTTTAAACAAAGAATTCATTAAAAGACATTACAACAGCTCAGCTTACAGCTCAATTTCGAGGTCCTTCTTACTCGAAATTGTATAACTCATAATTTGAACTCAAACCTTATATATAGCAAATAAAATAATAAACTGACTGTTGTGACAGTTCGATTTCTGCGAGTTGTTTGGATTAAAGTTCTCAATATAAATTAGATTTAGTATTAAGAATAATTTTAAATAATGCACTGCGACCTAAGAGATCTATTGTGCTCCTTAGTCGGATTAGAGTATATCTCTAAGCCCGTCTTTCCTAGTCTTGAATCCTTATGATCCATGAAATATCCTCCTAGGTTTTTCTTCCGCTTGTGCATCAGTACCGGGCACTCCCCAAGCACGTGGTTTACAGTTTCTATGGCTTCTCTACAGTATTTGCAGTCATAGTTGGATTGAATTCTTAACTTCGCTAGGTGATTATTCAATCTACAGTGGCCGATCAATAATCCTATAATAATTCTTAGGTTATTGTTTGATTAATCTATGCAATCTTTGAAGCATTTTAGGTTGTAAGTCCCTAAAAGCATTTTAAATTGTGATAGTCTTGATATCCTTTCTCAACAGAGTTCTCTTTCTCTTTCCTTTGCTCCGTTCATAAGAATAGATAGAGTTTCTTTTTTTTTTGCCTAGACCACCGAAAGGTTCTGTGTCTATCATTATTGAAACCGCATCTTCTTGCAAGCTTGTCTGCCATTTATTAATTATAATAAAATATAATAATTATTAGTAATGGAAACATTAATTTAATAATGAAAATATTTTATACTACACATCAATGATTCAATAGAAGATTTCTGCAAGCATTTCGTTTAACTATGAAAAGGTGTACAACATGGCGTATGAGTGATTTTTCAAATATAGTTTTAAAACTCGTATTTATAAAAAGATTAAAAATTCCAAACTAATTAATTTGTTTTCAAGAAAAATATATTCATACAATATAAATAAAACAGTCTACAAACTTTAAGTAACTACAACTTTTACTTTTGTAGACAAATAAGATAACATGGAAATTAATTTGTTGCAAATAAAATATTTTTATTATTAAAGATTAAAAATAAAATTTTAATTTTTAAAACATTTATTTCAATTTATTTTAATTTCAATAAAATGTAAGAATAAAATAAAAATCAAAAAAATTAATAAAAAAAATTTTGTCATAAACTTCATTTTAAGTTACTCAAAAATTTATTTATTACAATATTATTTAACCACAAAATTTTATTCTAAAAAAAATATTTAAAATTTTGATGAATACAAAACAAAATATTACTAATACGTAAATGTAATATAAATATTTCATAATACAATGGGATGACAATAACAGCAAAATTTTCCTAAATTTATTCATACAAAATTTACATTTGAACTTTTATTTCAGAGAATGTGCAAAACACAATACTAAATGCATAAGGCATTAAGGATATGTAAAATTTATAGAATGCTATTCTTACCATTCATTTGAAGGAAGTAATAAAATACTAAAATAGCTTACATTTTCAGAGTTTGCATAAGAAATCATAAATAAAATTCTCATGAATTAAAAGATGAAATAACAAAATATTTTATTTAATACTCCAGAATTCATCTAAGAAGAAAGAATATTTATTTTAAAACAATTTTGGAGAAATAAAGTAAAGAAATTTTTTTAATAAAAAATAATATATACATTTTGTTTATATTTGATTTTAATTTATAACAAAATATTTTTCCAGCATTGCAACAATTGAAAGAAATTCCTAGAAATAGCTTTAGAAGTTGGCAGATTCTAGAAAGGCAAAGCAAATGAATTTTCATTAATTAACAAAAGAATGTTTCATTTCAACAAATTTTTGTAGTATTTTTTAGTTCAGTTGAGTACTGAATGTATGCACGAGTGAAGTGAATTGTCTCACTTTCCAATTGATGAGTTTAAATGAAATTCATGTAATATCAGGAAATTTTTTTTAAATTTTGTTTCATTGAAACATCAAAATATATAAAAATAAAAAATTCTACATCAAAATAAAGATATTCTCAATATCTGGCTTAATTAATAATTAATTACTATTATTATTAATTAATTATTATAGTTAATAATTAATGTAAAAAATTTTTTTATTATATTTTATTCATATGTTGCTAATAATTCAGCTTTTGTTTCTTTAATTTTCATTTTATTAAAATGAAAAAGATTTAAATATACTCCCCCGTTTTAAAAGATAACGTTCAGAAAATTCCTAAAAATAATATCAAGAATTTTCTTATTACTGAAAACTTTATGTTTTCAATTGAGTCACATTGAAAGGATCAAAAAAACTGATGGTTTGGCTACCTTTGATATTTCCTTGCATGTATCTCTAGGGGTACCGCTCTAATCACCCCTAAAGATCACTAATAGAAGCACTTACAAAGGCAATCACTACTCAAGACCTGTTGTACTGCTGTTCACCTTAAACATAAAAAATGCTTGTTACATTTTATCAGATTGAAAGATTAAAAATCTTTATCATTTTCGTTATAATTATTATTATATTTAACTAAATGATCCTAGCAGCGTTTTTGCCTTTCATTGGTTAGGTATTTACTAATCATTCACATCCATCTCATAAATAGATTTACCTTATATGAAATATCCTACCTTACTTATTCCCAACTTACTTATTTAAAATATTTATCTTATTTTGGTATATGAATTTTTTTTCTTAAACCATTCAATCAAAGGAAAAACCATAATGTAAAGGAAAAAAAACTGTGCAATTCTATAAGTACAGAATTTAGTAATTTGCAGTTCAACAAGTTTGAATATGTAAAGCGCATATGAAAAGCAAATGTAAATTTGTATTGATTATTGATGTAATGAAAGTATCCTTGTTACTATGAAAAATTTACAGCAGTAGTTTAGAAATTCCGACAGATTTTATTTAGCACAAAAGAAAAATACTTTCAATATTAGCAAGGATCAATGCATGCATAGCAAAGTAATCTTTGGCAGTGTAACAAATTAAATCTGTTACAGCATAAATGAATAAATGAATGAATGAATGAACGAATAGAGAAATGAATGAATTATTTAAAATTTAATAAAGCTATAGTATACATGATATACTATATATGCTATGCAATGTTTGTTAATAATTCTAATATACAATAATTTTTTCGTATAGCAAAATGTAGAAAATAAGTCAAAAAATATTGCATAAAAGCAGTAAATACATTTTTCATTTATTTTATTTTTATTTTTTTTTTTTGTACAAATAAAATGAAATCAGTATGAAGTAACGAAAATGAAAATATGGTAGTGAACCAGATTACTGGAACTCAACAGACTGTGAAGATGTAACAACAACAACAACAACAACAACAACAACAGTTTGCTCTCTGCCACTCTAGAACTCTGCCACTTTAAGCAGCAAAACTATTTTCTATATAAACTGTTGTGGCAAAAATATTACAAAAAAAAAAAAAAATAAAAAAAAATAGATATAGTTAGATAAAAAGTAAAAAAAAAAAGAAAAAGTATATATATATAGAAATACAGTTGAAAATATTTTATTTCAAGCTGGTTTGGTGCTACTGCAAATTTACACATGCTGCTGCAAGTATAACAAGCGTGCTTGCCATGCATGCCTGGAGTGTGCAAGTTGGTTTGAATTTGTTAGTATTTGCGGAAGTATGTTAGTTGTGCGTCGATGGTAGAGTATCTCTGGTAGAGAGACAGGACTTAAATATAAACTTTGCACAATTTAAATCAACAAAAGGACCTCATGAATAAACTAGATGTTGTTGTTGTTGTTGTAGTTGCAAGTGCAGTGGCTGCATAGTTGCATACATGTTTTTGTACTGCTCCTCTTAGCTGTTACATGCACTTATTACTTTTTGCTATGGAGTAAGATTTTAACTAGGGAATTTCGAATCAAAATCAAAACGAAATTGAATTTGAATTTATTATTTAGTAAAGAAAAATGATAAAGAATTTTTACAATCTAAGCAATATAAGCACATAAGTGTGATGATATGTGAGTATATGGCAATATGGTATTTATTTATTTGCAAAAAAAAATAAAACTAATTCAATAATATTTACAAAAAGTAAATAAATGAAAAAAATAAAATAATATCTATATTAAATCAATTATACTAAAGAATCTAGAAGAGCTGAGAAATAGAATTGGTTACGAAGCAAAATTTTAAATTACTTTCAATAATTCAAAGGATAATCAAAAAGAATTCTATAGCTTCCAACCAACAAAGTGAAGCATTTGAAGTTTTTGAATTTAGCACAGAAATTTTATTTAAATTTCAATTTAAGCTTCAATTATATTTACTTAATACTCACAAATCTTTAAAATTGTAATAAATTCTGTTGTTGGATTTTTATTTTTCACCTCTCGATTCCTTGCTTTTTGACTTCTACTGCTGCTCCTTGCATACCGTTCACAACTCAATTAAATTCTTATTTAACTCATTACGTACAAAATTAGAAAGTTCAAAGGACTTTTAATTTTCATTTTACTCATGAAGACTTGCATTTGCCCATTTTTCACTTCCCACTTCCCACTTGCCTCCTGGCTCTTGGCTCTTGACTGAGTTTGATTTGGCTTAGATTGTGTGCAACTCTCGGAACAATTAAAAAATCCACAATTGCAGTTGCAACTGTTGAACTTGCATTGCTGCTGCTCCTGCTTCTGCTGCTCCTGCTGTTGTTGCTGCATTTGCCTTTGCTGCAGCGGCAATTGCTGGGTTTGCCTTTTTATTTTGCCATTCCTTCTGGCATCCTGCTTTTGTGCTCTTCTGCATATGTTTGTGTACTCTGCAGAGTTGCCACCCGCATATCTTATTTTGGCACTGCTTTTGAATTTTATATTCTATTCATTTTCATTTAACTATATTTGCAGAGGTTAATGTGCTTTTAGTTTTCTTTTTTCCTTTCTGTTGGCTGCATTGTTTCAGCTTTTAAACTTTCGTAGTTTATTGCATTTTAATGTTGGCAAAAAGTAAAGCATATGTTCTACTTTAATGTGGCAGATTTTATGGCTTGTAAAGATAGATGAGTGGATCTGTTAAACAAAAAGTAGTTGTTTAAATTAAAATTTTTATTTTTTAGTTTCGAAATAGTTTTCAATTAATTTGTGTAACAAAAAAGTGAACCAAATTGCTGAAACTTGAGATATGTTTGGAAAGGGAGGTGTATGCAGTAATCAAGTGAATTAATAGTTTGATTGGTTAGTTGGCAAGTTAACAGATATCTGTCCGCTGACAACGAAATATTAATTATATTCTGTCGAATATTAAATATTCGTCATTCTCTGATTCTAGTCGATAAATTATCCTGCACTTATCGCCTAAATGTATGCAACAAAAAATAACCGAAATAATTTCCGCTTTTATTTGGGGTAGAAAATGTCAACAGTTTCCTTCATTGCAAGCATAACGAAATGCAAAAGAAACAATTATTATGCAAATGATTTTGATAGCAACAATTAACATAAAAACAATAAAACTAAATCCCCATAGAAAAATATTTTTCAGTAATAATTAGCCACAGTATAAAATCATTTGAAATAAGGACATAGTTGCCAACCCCTAAGCGAATCACCCTTGGCAATGGCATGATATTATCATGTGTTAATTTATCGTAGCTCATTATTTTGCTACCCTAATTTTGCATTTCACAAAATGCCAATAATCCTTATAGAATCAGTCAAGCTTTCAAATGTCACACAAAATACGAACACAACAAAAACAACGACAACAACAATGACGGCAATGAATAAACTAACAATAACAACGACAAGGACAAACGCAGTCAATAATGCTTATTATTAACGTAATTTCTTAGCCAAGATTAACAAAACATATTTCTTTTTTTTTGTTTTTGTACCAGTTAGAAAAAGAACAACGAAAACAACAACAACAATAACAATCGAAGCAACAGAAACATAGCAATATGCAGGGAAAATTATTTGGGATTTAACAACTAAAGACAGGGATGTGTGTTAATGCTGCCACTCCAATGCGATGTTCTGTCAATGTTCTTTGCTATTGACGCTACTATTATAGAAGCTGCAAAGGATTACTGTCAAAAGTTGACCAAAGCAGCTTTGAATGATGCTTATCAATCTATCAGGCTTCAAGTGCCACTTAGGGAGATTTTCTCTTCCCCTCGCCATTTTATATATTTGTTGACTGTTAATTCAATGTATTTGTAAACATTCTTTTTTACATTATTTTTTGTTTTGTTTTTTTTTTTTGTTTTTATTTGTGCAAATGTCATCAAAAATGATTTTTGTAAAGAACACATTAAATAGAGAATTTGGCAGCTGAAGACAACCTAATAATTGCCTACAAGTACGTTTGCTTCTGTCATTAATGCGTGAATGAAAGTGTGAGTGCGTGTGTGTGTGTGTGTGTATGTGCGGATTTGTATAACACAATTATGTCATCTGGCATATTGTTGACATTTTGTCGTGTCTGTGTCTGTTTCTCTTATGACTAAGTATATGTAAGTGTTTGTGTAATGCTTGTTGGTGCGTGTTGTGTCAAAGATAATAAACAAATAAATGACATTCACCAATAACGACAACAATGAGCAGATTGTTTGGCATTATTGTTGCTTAAGTTGTTGTTGTTGTTATTGTAGTTTTTATCTAACATGAATATGTGGTACTCAATTCAAAAGTGTGTCACGTAAATGTTTTAACACGAAATGCCCAAACACATATGAAATGTGTGTGAAATATATGTACATACACATATACCATATATAGCATACATGAACTGACAAATAAACAGATATGTTTTTATGATTTTACATAGAAAATACAATGCTTTAAATGAAAACAAAAAGCATCCCTGCCTTGCTCTGTTCAAATACACATTTTCCATTGAGGACTGCAAATGTTGCTTACAAATGTGCTGTGACAGGAGCATTGGGTAAATACAAAGAACAGAACATAAAAAACAGAAGTACATATTGTGCCATAAAGGAACCCATCATGTAACACAAAAAGGAATTATTTTAATATAAAACAGAATAGAAACAATATCGAATTGACTGATTTGCTTAATGTACAACATTCATTAAATGTTATATAAATGAAATCTATTTTTATTTTTTTTTTATTTTTAAGTCTTTAAAACTTCACAGTTGGACAAAAATTCTATTCTTTCTACTTAAATATAAAATTGAAAAAATACTAAAAAGGAGCTATTGAAAGTAAATGATATTGTAAAGTGGCTATTTTTCTCACATTTATATGGGTTGGTAACGATAAAGTAGAATACGTTAAAAGCGGTACTTACTTAGATAGCTTTATGACGTACAAAAGCAGAGCTGACGAAGAAGCTATGCTTCAAAACAAGCATAGCTTTGAACCAACTATCCAAGATATTGAGCTCTAGTCAAATTTCCTTTAAAAATAAAGCTTCGCGTGTTGAAGTTAAATGTTAAGTCAGTGCACTTCTATGCAGGTAAAACATGGAAATGTTAAGAAAAAAATACAAAACAAGCTGCGTGTGTTTGTTAACAAGTGTCTTCGTTGAATTCTCGAAATCCGTTGGTCAGAAAAAATATCGCACACCGAATTATGGGGAGAACAAATCAACCCCTAGTTACAACAGAGATGGCAAAACGCAAATAGTCCTAGATTGGGCACACAATTCGACAACCCAAAAATACTAAAGCAAGACAAGCACTGCGATAGAACCCACAAGGTAACCGGCGACCTGGTGCACCAGCAGGAACAATTGAAAAAAAATGAAAAGATGCCGAATTTACTTGCAATAATTTTATAAAAACAGCTCCTAACAGAAACGATTTAAATCGATGGTAGAAACCCTATATACCAGAAAGAGTTCAGAACATCCGTACTACTAGCCAACATCCGTAGTACTTAGTTGACTATTACAACCGTGTGCCCTCCGTGCTGTGTCCATTCGCTTTCGCCAGACAATCTGATCAGCTTTCGATTAGCTTTCTGTCGCCAATTATTAGTAGCCAATACCTTGATCTGATTGGTCAAATAATTCTTCCATACGGGCTTCCTTTACCACATTTTTCACCAACGGGTCAAACGAATCAAACCACTTTATAGCTGGAGTACTTAATTCCATATGCAAGACATGGCCAAAACAGCGAAATCGCTGAATTTTTATGCGCTTATTTATGTCAATGTCGCTGTATAGTTCATATAGCTCATCATTCCAATACTCGTTGCCAACGCATCCTCATTTTTTAACCTTTCGCATAGTAAATCCAGTGCAAAAGAATATTAAACATTTTCAACCTCTTAATCTTAGATTAATTACTATTATTATTTAGGATCAATGTTTATTAGTATGAGAATAATAATTGATAATATTAAGTAAAAATGCTTTAAACACTAACTCGCGTTTGATCAAACAAAGAAGAAGAGGACATATTAGGGGTTCAGGAATAAATGGTTTAAGTAAATAATTACTTGAAAGTAAATATGTATAAAGTAATTATGTCTATATACTTTTTCCCCACTTGTTAAAAGCAGTTTTTGTAATTGAATGTATCCTGTGTTTTCTTTAAAGTTTTTTCATTTCTGTAGAATAGTTTTTTTTTACAAGGCACACCTTGTCTAGAAAAATATCATCGTAGTACATAAATTAAGTAAATGTTAAGCTTCATTCAAATTATTATTATTGATACAACACTGAAACCAAAAACTAACAGAAAAAGCCTTTTAATGATAAATTCAAACATATGTACTCGTATATATTACATGATATCGCGCTTACACCAAAGAAGCACGTATATTTTTATAGTCACTCTTTTGCTAAGGAAACATCGCGATATATGCGATATATAGTTACATGTACGTATTTACTTACATATGACCTCATATAGTCATACAGTTTGATGTATGAATGCAATCATTCGTGACACACGCTGCCAGTTGTCAAAGCAAATTGACATTTGTACGTCTATTTGAGCCTTTGTTATCCTTGAGTATTTTTTTCCAACTCGCTGCTTCGTTTTCCTTTATGAACCATTTTGCCTCACATTTTCCCATTAAGTTCGTGTGGTTTTGTTGAGTCCTTCGTTAGTTTGTCATGCTCTGTTAGGCAAAGGCGCTGTGAATTTATTTCATTGTCTTTCTACTACAAGAAAAAAAACTATAAGAAAAATTTAATTAATTTTAAATAATTCAATTAATAATTTAAAATTTTTTTTTGCAAGAAACTGTCTAAAAGTTAGACGGATTCGAATAGCAAAGAGAAGACAAATACAAATATTTTATTTAATTTATTCAAATTTGGCTGATCATACAAATACTCGAAATAGCTGATTACTACTGATTCAGATTTTATTTATTTACATGTTATCTTATTATACTACATTTTTTGAGCTAATCCAACACCGTTTTACTCCTTTTCTATTGCACAGGAACACTGACATTTTGTTTCGGAAAATTGTTGTCATGTAAATTTAGTTGACATATAAAAATATTGTTAGCATAAATTCAAGCAGAAAATCTTGTAATAAATTTACAAATTATAACTATTTTTTTTTGTATCTTTTCTCTCTTGTTACTTGACTTTTAATTTACATGTTTACTGCATAAAAAAGGAATGAGAACAACAGAGCCTATTAGGAGAACATAAAAAATTCATTTTGTACCTTAAATGCAACTTGAGCTACTTACGGGTTAAGCAGTGCCTTAGTAAGCATTCAATCCATTTGCTGCGGTATTTAGTTTTGGGGTAAATAACAACTCTGTTTTATTAGTTTGACTTTGACTTGTTGGATGATATTGTATTGTGTTTAATAAAAACAAATATTTAATATAAAAAACAATTTGTTATATTATTAAATTAAATTAAATTTATGTATAAATAAATTGATATTAGGAAAATAATAATAAAAAAAATCAAATAAATATTTTAATAAACAGATTTTTGCATTAGTGCTTAGAAAATTATGTTTAATATAAATAAAAATATTTATGTGTATACAATTATCATTTATATTTTTTTTAAAATAAATTTGTCAATTACTTAGATTAGTTTATAGTTCAAAAAATATACATGCACATGTAGATTCCACCACTCAGTGAAGAAAATGTGAAATAAAAGATGTGTCCATTTACACTATTTATCGATATATAATTATCCGAAAAAGTCTACCCTTTATATCTACAAAAGCACATTTTGTTATGGAATTTAGTTTTAGGTGTAAAATTTCTCTCTCATGCCGATTTCTTGCAATCGTCCTCGAAACCTACTTCCCACTGCTCTTATATTCATATTAATCCATTTTTCTGAATGGTACTTGAGTTTATTTGAACTGATCTGGAACATAAAATTCCATACCTTGAATATTTGTTCTTACATCTATTCACAATAGTATCATATTTTTGAATATTTGGGTTTACAGTGATTTGAGACTTAGAATTTAATATCTCAGATATTTGGTTCTGAAACAATCCACAGTAGGAGTTGTGATTCTCTGCTAGTCACCCAAATTTATATACTTACTGGAATTTATAATTCAACACCTTTAGCAATTGGTTCAAAATCTAGTTGTAACAGTGTAGTTATGCTTAGTATGAGTACAAATCATCATTAATATATTAAAAGATATTATAGTCACCAAACTACCTGAAAATAGTCTGACAGACAACGATTCCTACTTATTCTGTCAAGAGTAATAGGAAGCAGTAATACAAATTTTATGAGCCTGCATAGCCATGGCAAAATGCAGACTTGATCATCTAGGCAGTGAAATTTAGAGCTCTAAACACCTAGCTAAAATACGGGTCACAGTTATCACGAGTTTCTTCCACAAGAGATGTCTCAGGTCGCAATGCATGTACAGCCTATTTGTAATCCAAATAGCTGTTTCAAATATTAGCATACATTCATAAATAATGGTATTGGCATTATTTCTTATATTTAATTATTCGTGAATAAATTTTTTGGAAACTGCAATTACCAAGGGTTGAACTTATGCGCCGCCAAATTTGAAACTCAGAGTCAGTGTTCATTAGCCAACTGATCTCAAGACATACTTGAATTGCATGTTCAAACTGAGAGTTCACTATTAAATACGTCAAAATTAATAAATGACATTAAAATCAAATTTATCTCAAATGTATATCCTTATAATTCTTAAATCTGTATTTCCATTTATATAATATTATGATAACATATCGTTCCAAGTAAAACCCTGTACACTATAAACAAACCTAAGCCACTGGGTTGTTATCTTTTTACAAATAATACCCTTGTTGCATATGCTGTTATGTATGAGTTAACGAAATTTGCATATGTTGCATATACATGTATATATTACAACTAAACATATATTCGTACATACATTGAAGGAACACCGATATGGAAAATAGGCTGACATGTCACAAATGTCATCTTTATGACATTTTCTCTATTTTTTTTGTTTTTTTTTTCTTGTTATCTTTTTGTTTTGCACCGTTTTTGCCTTACATATACAAATTTGTTCCCAGGGATTTACTTACTTTACTTCTGTTGTTTGCTTACATATCACCGTCATATTGTATTTTTTTCACTGTTTTCACTGTTCTCAGTGTTTTCACTGTTTTCCAATGTTTTCAAGCATTTTCCTGTACTTTTTGGCCCGCTCTACTCTGCGTCATTTTCATATAATGTGTGCCAAATTTCGCATCAGCACATCAAAATTCTTATGAATGACAATTCGTTGTACAACACAATTTCAACATTTGCATTCATGTTTTCTTGCCTCACTGGCTGAATGGCTCCGTGCCTATAGCGTCAGATAGTACGCAAAACATTGGCCCACCGCCCTGGAATAGTACTTTTTTATTCCACTTGTTTGTGTCTTCAGTTGTGTTATTGTGCTGCCTGTGTGTCATTTCGGCCGTCATATTGTGCAGTCATCATTTCCATATGCTGCTCCTCCAAACGATGAGTACGGTAAGTACGATGAGTATGTGTAGTTAAATGAGTTTGCTGTGCCTTGTATCTTATATCTTGTATCTTGTAGATAATATGGCAAATTCTTGACAACCGTTAAAGATTTTATAAATAAATTACAAAAAAGCATTTATTTTTGTTTTTTTTTTTGTTTTTTGTTATGCATTTTCCGTTTCTCTTAACAACAAGATACTCGTTATATATGTAGACAAATTATTAAATTGAAATATGTAAAGTTTTGTGGGGCAATGAACATTTCAACTATATGTAAATTGCCTCAGCATCGCAGTACCTTGAAAATACATAATAAGGATTTGTAGATAATAAGATATTTAATATTTGTACACTAAATTGCATGTTACTTTGTTGACACATAATGGAAGGAAGTATAATGATTTGTTTCAGTTCTCTCCCTCATAGTAAAATATACAAATAAACCATAATCTATTTAAGGATATATAGAACTGCTTAGTGCATGAAATAACTTCCAAGGATGTCAACAGGAATGTAATGGTAAATATCTTAAATTTTTACTGCAGTAAAAAGTAAGTCAGTCAACTTAGTTAACTGCAGTATTCTAAGAATAAAATTAGGTCTTTGTGACAACTAAATATTTTAGCTAAGTTTGTTATGAGTAAATAATTCATTTTTATAGATTTTAATGAAACTTTGGAATGAAAGGTTAAGAAGTAGAATACACCAAGAGTAAGTGTCTTTCAAACAATGCATTGGGTATATACTTAAGGTTGAAAACCAAAGATATACTTACTATAAATATATTTTTCTACTATTTGAACTTTTATGCGAGTTTTTTTCTTTTATTAGATTTAATAATCACTTTTGGAAAAGACGACAAAAATGTCTCCAAACTACTTTGTACTAATTCAGCACATACGCGGCACCTCCATTTTTGAGGATCTTTGTCAACTACAAGATCTTCCCTTAAATAGTGTTATAGGCTTTACCAAAGGTTTAACGTGGTTTTAAGCCACTAAGATTTTTTTTTTTGTTGTACGGTAATACAGTGGTCCAATAAACCTAAGTGGATTCCTTTGGATCGCCGGTACAATCTAAACTAACCTAACCTAATTATCACTATTAAACATAAAGAGTCTATTGTAGCCTAAATTTGGCTCTTTCTCTTGCTCAACTCTCAGTATAACAGCCAGCATGGTGGAAGTGTTTCTTGGAATTTAGAATTTGTATAATTTCAATTTTAAGACTAATACGATATCTTTTTTGGAGAGAGTACGAAGGGGAGATTTTAAAATGCCTAATGCATCGTCACTATGTCGTCACAATAGTGTTATGTCCGGTTTGAATGAACTAAAAGCAATCCTGTATGTGACAGACCGATTCTGCCCTGGAACTTTATCGGGTGTAGTTCAAGGTGGGATCGCTGTATTGATTATCCCTTAAGAACTTTCTTCGTAAACTTGAGTTCAGAAGAACATATTTTTCCGTTTTCGCCTCTAACTGTTGAAATTGTTTATATTGAGGTGGATGCCTCTTTCTGCAACAAATTAGGACTGCGTATAGATCAGCAATCAGTAAACGATTCTGAGGAAGTTGATTATGATGCCTTAGGCATTAGACTTAAGTATCTAAAAATCTATCTTAACAAAGACAATGAGGATAAGGTGGTAAATGATGAGGAGAACAAGTGACGAGGAGAACAAGTGAAGAGGAGAACAAGTGACGAGAAGTGCAAGTAACGAAGAGGACAAGTGACGGGGAGGATAAGTGATGAGGATGATAAGTAATGAAGAAGACATGTACCGAGGAGAACAAGAGACGAGAAAGACAAGTGTCGAGAAAGACAAGTTACGAAGAGGACAAGTGAATAGGAGCAAAAGCGACAAGGGTTACAAGTGCCAAGGATGAGATCTGATCAAATGAATAATTTATAAAGAGAACAACCACCGAGAAGTACAAATGACGAGAAGAACAAATCAAGAAGAAAATTAGTGATAAGGAAGACTTTACTAGCGACGACGAGAGCGAGAAACGAGATTGGTAACTGAGGAGAAGCTAAAGCTACTTTATATTGAACTATGAAAAAGTAAGCCTCAAATTTTTTCATTTCACATCATTTTGGATGGTACGGGGCAGTATGTAGATATTAGATCAGTCATCGAAAAATCAGCAAAGCTTGTGAGGAATACATTAATTAGTCCAAGAGAAGGGTGTGACTCTGTAGAAACTTCCCAGCTAAGAAAGAATAAAAGTGTTCAGTTGCTCGAGCTCGGAAAAACCTCGACATACGATATAAGACTTATTACCCCTATGGGAACTCTATTTTACCTAAATAAAGCTATCGAGACTAGTAAATAGTTACAAAAAAATTTCAAAAATAATTTTTTATTCTTTTTAATATATTCATATTTTAAATAAAATTATTTTAAAAATTATTTATGTAATGAGGTCATCGAAATATTGTAATATATCAATTAAAAATGCATTAATCTTGCAGTAGACAGCGAATATGTAACTATAATTTGCATGTAATTATCTAAAATGAAATTAATTGGCGTAAATTAATTAGTAAAAAGAAAAATAGTTCGATATTATGTTAAAGTGTTGTTTTTTTTATTTTTAAAATTCGCAAAGGATAATGCCATTTCAGTAGCCATTAATTGCATTGAAGGTTTATTATTCCTCATGCGCGACACTGCATTCGAACATAATTTTAATAATAATTTATGTAATGATTTAATGCAATAACTTGTGTAATAATTAATCGATTTTTGCGTAAATAATTAAAGTATTGAAAAGTTTTAATTGAAGTGGAAAGCATGCTTAATTTTTATTAAAATCAAATATTAATTTAATTTTATATCAT